CTTCAACTCCCAGAATTCCCCAGCCAGCATTCGCTGGCTGGGGAATTCTGGGAGTTGAAGTCCGGACATCTTCAAGTTGCCAAGGTTGAAAAACACTGTCTTAGAGGACAAAACCGCCTCTCTGGTGCAGCATCCCCCTGTGATTGCAGCTGCTCCATCCTGCTTAGATGAGAGGCAGCGCCCTTCACAGGACGTTCCCCCCTCCCTTGGCACCCTTAGCTCCCCCTTTTTGGTTTCGGAAGGTAAGCTGTATGGGCGTCTGACGTCTTCCCGAAGAGCCAAAAGCAAAGGGAAGGCCCCCTCTGTCTTTTTCCAAAGTGTGGCTGCTTATGCGCCAGCCCCGAAGGGAAGGCCACATGCTCTGCCGTGTTCGCCCCATGCCGCCTGTGACCGGTCCTGCTGTCCGTCCAGCCGCTTCCCCCACTGCTCTGCATGCAACAGACGCCTGGCCTTTCATGCCTCATCTGCTGGGCTGCCTCCATCTTTGGTTGTTGTATTCCACGGTGGAACGGTGACATTTCCGCTACTCTCGTGGCTCTTGTGTAACGTTTAGCGGGGCAGGGAAAACGTGCAAAAAGGGAAGCGGTCGGATTTTGAGGAGAGGCCTCCTGCGTCTGAAAGCACTCCTCGTGTGGTGCATTGCGCTGGCATGGAAAAGCGCCAGGCTCCTGCGTAGATGGTGGTCCAGAAAGCTCACGCAGCCTCGTTGCTGGTTCTGTAACAATCCCTCGCATTCCGGAAACATCCGATACAAAGGCCTGCGTACTTGATCACCCGTGCTAGTGGCCGTGTTGGTGTCGTTCGAATGTTTTTGTCCCTCGGAAGTCCTGCTGGTAGTTTTAAGTAGGCCCAGCCTGTTCCTTAGCATTTCAGCTGTTCCATTTGAAAGAATGCATAGCTTTCCGTTGGCGTTTTAATGCAAAAAAAGGAAAATTGCTCCACTGCAGAAGACAGTCGTTAACAACCAGATTGTCTGTTTCACCGATGACGCTTCAGTAGATCAGTAGATTTCTGCACTCTCTGTAACGAGCTGTTCGGTTAAATGTTAAGAACACTGTGCAAATCCACTTGTAAGCAATAAAGTTTCCATGAAGAATCACAAAATATGGGGTTTTCTTCTCCTATTTTAAGGCTTTTATTGACATTTAACTAATAATGGAACTCCATCCTGCAAGGGATTATGGGGTCGTTAAAAGATGATTGACATTTAATCAATAAATTTGGTATCAAAAATCATTGACAATTTCAGTAGAGCGACAGTGAAGCATCTGCCTTTTGAGAGGGAAAGTGCAGCAGGGATGGGCTACCTACCCCACCACCACTGACCCTGCTCCCCCTTTTTCAGTCTGCAAAGCTGTTCAAGGTTGCTTAATGCTCCTTTTAAAATTATGCAACCTGGGGAGGGGGGGCGGGGAAGCCATATATTCTGCCCTCTTCTTCTCCAAGTCACATCCATGGCTTGCTATTTTGCTCCACATGGCCCTGGCCTCCCATTAAAAGAAATGGGAGTTAATAATAGTTTCCAGGCATAAGAAAAGTGTCCACCCAGCCCTTGGACATGATACCCATTTTATATCCAAATGTTTCATCCTCATTTTCTTTTCGGCCTGCTGGGAAGCCACTGCTAGCAACTGAGGGAACACAGTGGGCCTCAAAGACCCCATTCCCCCATTTGTATAAGGCAGGACCCTCTCCTGCTCCCTTTGCCCCAGTGCCAAGCCCACCAGAGGCATTGGACTACAAGTCCCATCACTCCTGATCTAGAAATCATGGAGCAAGAACACAGCCATGGGACAGGCCAAGAGGAGGGAGGGAGTGCGCCAAGCTCTACAGCGGACAGTTAGTCCTCAACTTACAACCATTTGAAGTTACAATGGCGTGAGGGGGGGGGAAGCAACTTGCGGCCGGTCCTCACACCTACGACCTGCTTAATGTGCATTTATGATGGTTGCAAGGTCCTGGGGTCATTCAAAAACCTTTACTTCCCGGCCTGCTTCTGACAAGCAAATGGGGGAAGCTGGAGACTCGTTTAATGACAGGAGTCACTTAACAGATGCAGGTAAAATTAGGCGTGCCTCACTTAATGACCACCTTGCTGAACAATAGAAATTCTAGGTCTCAACTGTGGCCGTTAAGNTTTACTTCACACGGTATAGCGAAATGCAAAATAGTGCTTAAACTCAGAAGTACCCATTTATTCAGATACAATGGAACGCTAAATGTCCCTGAACTTCCCAGAATTCTTGGGGGGGGGGTTCGTCTCTTGCCCCTCCTTGGGAGACCACCAATGCTTTTACTCTCAAGGAGACCCACGCGGTCTCTGGCACAGCCAGGCTGAGATGGCGTCCCGGGGCCAACGGCTTCAACCAGGACCTTCCGGGAAGCCGTGTTACCAAGTGTTTTGGGAACGGGGCCTTTATTCTGCTCTCTTTCTTTCTCTGTCCCTTTCTCCATTTAAAAATAAATAAATTATCAACTTCCCAAGATAATACGGGCCTTGAAGAGCAGGAGAAGGAGAAGAGGCGCCTGGTCATTGAGAAGTTCCAGAAAGCTCCCTTTGAAGAGATCGCAGCGCAGTGCGAGACCAAGGTGAGCCGAACAAGCCATGGTTTCTGCAACAGCCCCCCTGCTTGGTGACGCTCAGATAGCCTTGCAAGGCAGCTGGAGGGTCTACTTCAGAGAGAGAGGACCCCACAGCACGAGCTAAGCTGGGGTGACGTCTCCCCTTGCGGTGGTCGTGGTCCCACCTTCTCTTACAAGGGCTGGGAGGAACAACCTGGTGCAAAGTACACTTGGCACCGTCGTGTTGCATTCTGCATAATGAAGCGTGAGATCGGGGCAGACGAGTGTGCAAAGTTTGAAGGAGGGGAGTCCTTCTCTTTGGTACACTTACGTTATTATGATTCTAAGAGTAACAGAATCCTAAGGCTGGAAGGGGGGACATTGGAGGTCTTCTAGTCTGACCCCCTGCCCAGATCACAAGCCCTTGTGCCATCCCTGATCAATAGTTATCCAATCTGTTCTTGAAGACCTCCGGCCATGGAGCCCCCCACAACTGTGGGAGGCAGGTTGTCCCACAGAAAGGAACCCCGCTTTGACCGTCACCCGATCTCACTCGGTCTGTTTTCTTCCTCCAGGCAAACCTCCTCCATGACCGACTGGCTCAGATCCTGGAGCTCACCATTCGGTAAGAAGAAATGCCGAAGGACCAGCTGGATTTCGGCTGGGAAAATTGGAGGATGGGAATCTGGGAGTCACGCGGTCAAAGGGTGGGAAATTCAGGGGTGACCGAAGGACAGTACAAGTTAAGTCCTCAACTTACAACCGTTAGTTTAGTGAACAGGACTGAAAAAAGGTGACTTAGGACTGGTTTTCCACACTTATGACCGTTGCAACATGGCAATTTGGGCACTTGGCAGCTGGCGTGAATTTACAATGGTTGTGACTTTCTGGCAAGTGGTCGTTGGGGAAGCCAGAAGTCACAAAGCATGTTCATGTAACAACTGCCGCTTTGTCAGTCAAACGTAGTCAGAGGACGTTTCACTTAGTCATGGAGTCGCCACTCCCAACTGCAGTCACTAAGTGAGGACTCCCTGTAATATTTTGTTCTGATGAGTTGATTCTCACTATCGCTGGATTAACGCTGGTCTGTGTTAGCCTCCGTTGGCTTGAATTGCTTTTCCACCATGTGTTTCTTACTGTTCAAGTATTCTTAGTAGCCATCAGAAAAGAATAAAAATGACAATTTAGGAAGAAGTACATTTCCTGGACCTGACTTTTAACAAAGCCCGGGTCCCAAGCCAGCCCGATGGGTGGATGGATGGATGTCCGGCTGAAGGTCTCCCTTGTATAACCGCGAGGTCTTTCTTTCCACAGGCCCCCTCCCAGCCCTTCGGGGACCCTGACCATCACGTCCGGCTGCCCCCATTACCAATCGGTCCCCGTCTACGAGATGAAGTTTCCGGATCTTTGTGTGTATTGAGGGTCTTCCTCTGCTGGGGATTGTTTTAGTCTTAGAGCAGAGACTGTGCTAGAGCCCCGGAGGAGTTCCTAAGCTCCCTTCACTCTTGGCCACCTTCTAATTGAGTTTTCCAAAACGGCCGTGGATGCGAAGGGCGGTGAACGCTGGGGTCGCACCCGAAATATCTTTATTTTGTACACGGTTCTCCAGGCTGTTGCAAAGAAAAATGAAGAGCGGAGGATGGTTTATTTTGGGGCAGCTGGAAATAAGGGCGTCCTTAGGTTTACCACTCCACTTTGTCTAGAAGTGACAACTTTCCAATTCTGGGCTGGCTCGTTTCCTATCAAAACCTTAATCCCGAGCACCTTAAAACAACGCGAGGTGGGCACTTGGCTGTCGTTAACTAAAGGATGCTAAATGCTAGGCCAGGTTGGAGAACTGGCATGTGCCCACGGTAGTTAATCTGAACCATAGTTTTGCTTTCTCAAAAATTCTGTGCTTCTGCAAATAGTTGTCACACGCACTCTTCTGATAAAAAAAAGGCCTCATTTTGAGCTTTAAAGCCTGCGGTATTTTTTCATGTCTTAAAAAAAAAAAAGTCTAGTCTAAAGCCCATACTTTGTGGTGGGGTGGGGGGAAAGTGTATTTTTGCTGCACAGCGATATATAGATAAATATATTTAGTATAGCACAAGATATTCAGGGCATTTTAAAATGAGAGGGTTTTTAAAAAACACGTTTCTGAAATTGTAATAGAAGAGTTGGTTATTCTATGAACTATTTCTCTCTGTAATATAGCGGCGATAATGATATTTTATTAACTGAAAAACAAAATTAATATGGATGGCGCCCCTAGGCAACCATTTTTTATTTTTACTGTTTTGTACATGCTCCCCTTTCTTTTTCGTCTGCCAGTTGCCATTTCCCTCCTTGAGGCCTCCTGGTCAAGATATTCCCACTTTCTGATGCTTTTTCATTAACACCCATTGCACAACGGGGGTGTATTTTAAATGTTTACTCTGTCCTACAAATAACTTCAAAAATTCCATAAAAAGCTGGCAAGCTTTGGTAATTCAACATGTACGCTGGTTGCCAGTTTGCTGAAGGGTGGGTGGGTGATATAGGTTTGGTCCGGGGACATGAATTGGGGAAAAGCCAAGCCCTAGGAATTTTATATTTTTTAATTTTTTGGCCAGCCTGTTAGAAGAGCCGAACTCTGGACGTGCTCACTGTAACCAAGGCCTTTTTTTCAGTTTGACAGCGCAATCACAGCTCTTAGAGCAGTGTTTTTCAACCTTGGCAACTTGAAGATGTCCGGACTTCAACTCCCAGAATTCCCCAGCCAGCATTCGCTGGCTGGGGAATTCTGGGAGTTGAAGTCCGGA